GATCTATTTTAGCATTTTTCATGAAGCTAACGTTCAGGTAGGCATAAAATAATCTGCTTGATTATCATAAACATATCATTATATATGTATACTCGGTTTGAAAATATAAAAGAATTGGAGAAAAAGATTACATGCGAACGAAGTCGCGGGCACAGCTAGTATATAAAATATATATAATTCATATACATATATAAATAAATACACACATTTATACACACACATATATATCTCAATAAATGTATATATAAATAACTATAAACATATAAAATAAGTTGACTCAACTTTGTAGGCTACGGATATGCTCATATAGTTTTCTTTTATTCTAGGAGCTCGACTATTTTTCCTCGCTCGAGATGTTGCTAAGTCAAAAGGTTTTAAGTATTGTTGGCAACTTCTCAACTGTCATTAAAGTACAAACATCTGATCTTACATTAGTTTCCCAAAATATACGTAGTATCTATGCTAATTTAGATGACTTGAGGAAAAACTTGGGTTACTTTAATTTTCAAGCGGATGCAATCATTTTAAGTGAATGTAGAATAGTTATAAATAAGAACATCCCACAAATTGAGAACTATATGTCATTTCATACAACTAAACATGTGAATAAAGCGGATGGTGTAGTTGCTTTTATAAAGGACTCGCACAAACGCACGCACGCACGCACGCACGCACGCACGCACGCACGCACGCACGCACGCACGCACGTACGCACTCACACACACGCACTCACACACACGCACTCACACACACGCACTCACACACACGCACTCACACACACGCACTCACACACACGCACTCACACACACGCACTCACACACACGCACTCACACACACGCACTCACACACACGCAGTCACACACGCGCACTCACACACACGCACTCACACACACGCACACGCACACACGCACACGCACACACGCACACGCACACACGCACACACGCACACACGCAAACACGCACACACGCACACACGCACACACACGCACACACGCACACACACACACACACACACACACACACACACACACACACACACACACACACACACACACACACACACAAACACACACACAAGCACACAAACACACAAACACAAAAAAAAACACACACACACACACACACACACACACACACACACACACACACACACACACACACACACACAAACACACAAACATACAAACACACAAAAACACAAACACACAAACACACACACACACACACACACACACACACAAAAAAGATTAGTCTTGCTAAAAAGGTTATGTTTATTTTATTTTTTTTGTTTATTTTTATTTATTTATTTATTTTTTTGTTTAAATTTGCGATAGCTGTGTACCTCTTTTATTTTAAAATTTAAATTGTAATCCTTATTTGTATTTATTTGGCGGTTTCTAGTCTATTGTGTAACCTCGCTATGGATGAGCGGTGTTTCCTAACACAAGCAAGATTATTTGCTTAAAAGGAAGCTCCAAGTACTTAAAATTGTATTAGGCTTAGTTACCGTAATAAATTATTTTGTATTTGTATTATTTTAAAAACATTTTTTGCAGGTATTGTTCGCAGGTCAACAGACGATTTGTTCCAGAGGGTAATCGAAGTAACTGTGAAAGAATTTGACATAGACCCAAAATAGTGGAGAGGAGTGGACAGGAATAAACTTTGTGAAGAACGGAAATTGAGAGAATGAGTGTCACTGAAGAATTGAAATCTTTCTTTTAGGTAAAAGGGTGATCATTAAGAACTGAAAACAGAGTGGACAGGATTCGGAAATATCTGCGCTGGCGTGTAGTCAACCACTTTAACTGAGAGCGAAATTCTGAAACGTGATCATATTTGCGCAGGCCAAAGATGAATCGGATACAGTTGTTAAGTAACCTGTCCAATCTGTTCAGCAGCTTCTGAGAAATATTAGTTAGACAAAGATCGGCATAGTCAAATAATTTAAGAATTAGAGATTGGACGAGAAGACGTTTAGTTGAAGGAGGTAGAAAGAACTTAAGGCGATAGAAGGAACGAAGTATGCCTGTGACTTTACGACAAACCTCGAATACCTATGATATCCAACTAAGAGACGGGTCGATAATTAAACCCAGATCCTTGACACTATTTCTAAAGGGTATAACGCAGTTTTCACAGTAAATGGATGGTAGTTCAGATATGTTAAGTTGTGACACCAATTGACGGCTACCATTGACGATAGCCTGGCATTTATTGGGATTTACCGTTATACCGAAGCGCTGTAACCAGTGTGATATACGTTATAAGTCACGATTAATAGCTGCGATAGCAGAATCAATTTCAGCCAAGAACGCTTGTGAGTATAACTGGAGATCGTCAGCATAAAGGTGGTAAGAATATTGTAGGTAGGTAGTTAGAAGATTGATAAACACCGAAAACAAGAGAGGAGAAAGAATGCCGCCTTGCGGTACACCAAGAGACAGGTCGCACCAGTCGGAAAAATCCTGAACAGACCGAACAGCCTGCTGGCGACCGCGAAGGTAAGAGGAAAACCAGTTCAGTGCTGACGAGGCGAAATTTAGTCGTGAAAGTAATTCAAGGAGTAATTCGTGATCGACACAATTGAATGCGTTTGAAAAGTCAATAAGAACAAGAACAGTCAAAGATGACCTCTCCATGCCATCTCTAAAGTCTTCTGTAACTTGAAGTAATGCTGTGGACACAGTACAGTCCCGGGCGGAAGCCAGATGATATGTACTAGGGAAATTGCATTTTGAAATGAAAGAGGTGACTTGTTTTAGTACCAGTGATTCAAGTGCTTTGGAAAGAAACGGCAGCATAGAAATGGGTCTAAAATGGGAAGAAAGCGATGGATTTGGTACTTTAGCAAGTGGCAAGACAAAAGATTTTAGCCATAACTTGGGGAAAACATCATTAGAAAGTGAGAAATTGATGATGTGAGTGAGAATTGGAGTAATGAAATCGAGTATGAGAAGTATCATAGATCTACTCACCTCGTTATAGCCGGTTGCGGAAGATTTTATTGAAAGTATGGCTTTTCTAGTATCCTCATCAGTCACTGAACTGAAGTTGAAAGAATTACTGGATAGCAATGGCATGGAATTAAGTTCCCGGAGAGTCGTAATTTTAGTGGAATAATGCAGACGCGAAGCATAAGAGAAGTGTATGTTTAAGTCATTGAGTGAAATATTTGGAATTAGAGAATTGGAATGTGATTTTCCAAATCCCAGAGAATTAAGGAACTTCCATATGGTTGCAGAAGAGCAGTTTAAAATACTATTGTGGATGTAGCGGCGTTTGGCAGTTATTACAACCTGATTACAACGGTTTCGTGCTCGCTTATAGTGTTGAAAGGTGAGACTATTCCGATTCTTTTTAAAAATGTGAAAAGCTCGATCTCTTTTTACCATTGCTCTACGCACTTCATCAGTTATATATCCGTAATACAATTTTATTAGTATGTGTAGTGTTCGTGTGAATATAAAAATCATTATATTTACACGATACGGTAAATATAATGGTAGGTACTGCGTTTGCCGATATCAAAAATTAAAATTTTTATTATTTGAATGTATACAAATTAACAATAAGAAACAGTAGTCATTAATGGGTATAAACAGTAAACGTAAATAAAGCATTGACAGCTTATTAAATGTATTTTAATTGAATTGAGTGTCAACTATAATTAATATTTAGGTTATTAGACTTGGTAATAATATTATTTTTGAACACTGCAATATAACTTTCTGCGCAAATGATAAATTCAGCCAGTATTCTAACGTTAAACCGGTCTTCACAATCCATAACAGTCTACTGCTGGACATAGTAGGTGTTTCACATATTAGGGTGAAATGTCATAATCATCACGCACGGCAGGCGAATTCATAACCGCAATACCAGTTGATCCTTTGCCGCTGCTTCTTGTCGTTGGTACGATGGTATGGATATTTTACCTCTGGGAAATCCGTGTGATGGTTTTATTGCCACCTATTGGAGACCACAACATCTTTCGGGGATTTACTAAGGCCACCTTTTACAAAACTTAAGGGGTATAATGGGGTAATTGGATTGATTAAATCGATTCTACACTTTCTACTAAAATATTAAAGTGGCCGACTAGATACGACCTTCTTTTCGTCTAGAAAGTCTGGTGTAAGCAAAACCAAGTTTAAAACACCGCTGTAAATATAGTAATAAATAATAATAAAATTAACATAGCACAGCGGTATTAATTAATTGTTTTAAATATTTGCAATGAATTTAAAACTTCGTACGATTGATTTCCGATTCTTTGGAAACGCTACAATTATTAAATATTTAAAGTATTGATGAATTTATTGGTGGGCTAAATTATTTTTTTTTAAGTACAGGGGGTGACAAACGAGGACACAATTCACCTGAATATAAGTGGTGTAGCCCATATACTTCAATTTTCGCTTATGAATTAAAATATAGAAGCTGACGACGCTTCTACATTTTGATATGAGTACTTGGACAGAATTCCTCATTACCAGTAAAAAGGGTCTCAGGTTCTATTCACGCACTATACCAAACACGGCAGTATTAAGCTGCTATTTTATGCGGGTATTATATAAAATCATGGTACTATCACGATCAACACGACCCGTTCGTTCCGCAACCATATTAAGCAGTGAGGCTCTACCACGTTGAAAAACTTTTAATAATACGAAAAGACAGACATGCAGTTTTGTGTTGCCGTTCTAGATATTTTACATATAGTGTAAAACTCAACATATTATTGTCACATTTTAAGGCATGAGCCTTGTTAGTTATGGGTTCGATCCTCGCCGGCTTAAATAAAATAGTTTAATGCAAATTTATGTCCGTACTTTAACACCTACAATTATAATTAATCGGTATTTCGATAGTGATGGTATTGGAACTAAGCTCGTGCGCAGCGCAATTGTTAATACACTTGGCTAGGCGTTGGGTTATTTTCTGGATCTAGGAATGCTTCCATGTTTTATTTGCGTTCACTAGAATTAGATACGTACCGTGTCTTCGTCGTTATTGTGAGTGTTGAAGTTAGTCCGGCTGAGCGCACGTAGCAAGCGTGCACGTTCGCGTGCGGAGCCGCCGGGCGGGCCGGCGCCGGTGCGCGCCACGGCCGCCCGCGCCTCCGCAGCCAACCGCGCCCAGCGCCGCAGCGTGTTTTCACCGGGCCCGCCACACGCACGAGTGCCAGACCTCGGCCGCCCCACCTCACACACCCGCCCATCTTCCATTGCTATCACCTAGTTGATTATTTTATAACATAGAAATCACGAACTCATAGGCGACGTGCACGCTATATGGTAAGTGACCACTGCATCTCGTGGACAGCTGCAACCAACCTCAAATAAAGATGGCTATAGATGTCACTACTAAGGACTAAGATGAAATGCCTCATGACCTCTTATTATACTGGCTCTCTACAACCGGAAAACAACAGTGCTTGCACATTTTGATTTAATACGCGCGCCGCATTAATTTTTTTTCGACGATTTAATCGGCAGGCTAATTTTACGAAGATCGCTTCCAAGGCGTGCAAAGTGTTGTGAACATTAGCAACATTGTAACTAGGTTTACACTAATGAATAGAATCAGGCGTTACTTTGCGGAAATAAATTATATAAAAGCTTTTATAGGTTTACACTCGCAAGTTTACTATCAGAGAGTGATCCTTCTGTTCTTGTACTATTATTTATTCTGTGATTTTATTTAAAATTGCGACGTCGTTTTGTCTATCGATAGTTATCACTGCATTGCGTCCCGTGAAAAGTGCAACCTGCGTTTTCATTATATACAATATATACATGTATAAAATCAAAGATAACTTGCGCACTTCAAGCTTCATCTTGGCTCACATAAATTATAGAATTACCAATACTGGGTGATATTAGAAAAGACTTTAGTCATCATGGCAGGTCTTCTATGGTTGCAACCAAGATAGTCCGAGGTCGGTCTCACGGAGGGATAGCTCTACTGTGGAGAAAATCTATCTTTAATATCGTGTCTGTGGTGGAATGTAGTAATGACAGAATCGTGGCTGTTAGAATGGACTTAGCGGATAAATCGATTTTAGTTATTTGTGTCTATATGCCTACAAATAGTTAAGATAATATAGCTGAGCTTTGTGAATGCATGAGTGAAATTACAGCGATAGTAGAATGTTGTAACTTAGAGTCGATATTTATAATGGGTGATTTTAATGCCGACCCAAAAGAGTTATTTGGTAAAGGGTTACTAATTTCGTGTATAGATCAGAGGTGGAATTGTATAGATATTGATAAACTGGGCGTTGATTCTGGCACGTACACTTTTATTAGCGATGTTCATGGAAAAAAAAATGGCTTGATCATTGCTTAGTTACCGAGGCGTGTTGACGTTTATTACGACATCTACTGGTCTGATTACCAGCCGTTGGTAGTAAATGTAAATCTTAATACAATAAGGCCAATTGTACCTACTCTCTTATAACAAGTAACTAATAAGGTTTTATGAGGTGAGAGCATAGGTGAGAGCGATCAGTGTCAAATTGAGTCTTACCGTAAGCGATGTACTGAGATACTAGGAGATATTGATCTTCTTGGGGAGCTAAGTACATGTTGCGATCAAATATGTAATAATAACCTTGGCCACAGAGTAATTATTGACAATCTGTGTAATACTGTAATGATGAATGATGTGTAATACAATTGTAAACATACTTAGGGAGGCTGCTGAGCTTAGTTGTGTTGAATATAGAAGTAAAAATGTCGTTACATTGCGGGTTAGAATAAGTTTATGAAGGATGCACACGAGACAGCGAGACGGGTATTTATCAATTGGATGTGGCATGGTCGGCCAAGAGTTGGACGTATATACCAGGATATGTGTATATTGCGAAAAGAATTCAAGTCTAAATTAAAAACACGTCAAGAAAACCAAGACCAAATAAAAAAACCAGCAAAGTGCGAGTCGGACTCGCGCACCGAGGGTTCCGAACAAATCCGTAGGTATATAAGTTTAAAATTATTAAAAATATTTTTATTATATGATGTAACTAAAAATTTATGCTTTTCGCAATTTTTCCTTTATCTGTGCTATAATACGTGGCTTCGTACCAAATTTTAAGATTCTGAGTTCACGGGAAGTACCCTGTAGGTTTTGATTCCCTTGCGAATCTCGAAAATTTGCGGCATAAACGGCTGTATCTTTTGATTGCGTTGGGTTAGAGGTTTGATTTTTTCACAGCTCCAAGGGACAGTAGACTTGAGTATTTGATATAAATTTCAGTTTGATACCTTCACGCGTTCCTGAGAAAAAGAGACAGACAGACAGACAGACAGACAGACGGACAACAAAGTGATCCTATGAGGGTTCCGTTTTTTCCTTTTGAGGTACGGAACCCTAATGAATATTATAGCTTCACAATATAATTCAAAAAAAATTTAAAATTTTGGAAATTCACGAAAAGACTGAGTCCTAAGTCAGCTGTCTCCGTAAGCGTGAATGGGAGTAATGAACCGAGAGAGATAGCGAACCTTTTTAAAAGACACTTTAAAGTTGAATCTATATTGCAGCGAAGAGCAGAATTGGGGGCGGGCGATTGTGGAATGGTTGTGACTGGTGAGCCTGTCCGTATTGCAGCTAAGGATCTTAAGTTGGTCCGGAAGAAGATGACCAGAAGAAACTCACCAGGATGGCCTCAATGTCGAGCACCTTCACAAGGCAGGGCCGCATCTCCTAAGGGTCCTGGCAATGTTGTATACTTTTTGTATTAGACACTTCTATTTACCTGCCGAACTTATGAGAACTATTGTTGTTCCTATAGTGAAAAATAAGACTGGGGATATATATATCTGACAAGGTTAATTACAGACCTATATCCTTGGCAACTGATTTATATGTATTATATGTATGTTTACCTGTGGCAAAGGTGCTTGACCGACAATACGCTTCGAATTCAATATAATAATGCCTTCAGGATGCTAATGGGCTTTCCTAAATACTATAGTGCCTCAAGCATGTTTGCTGAACCAGGTGTTGATGATTTTTATATCAACATAAGGAAGCGAACTGCGTCAATGCTATGCAGACTACGGAAGAGCTCAAATGGTGTCTTGAGGATATTTCAAGATAAGCTTGTCTGTCCCATTCAGAGGCGTTGGATCCTAATGCATGTGGGTGGGACATTCAAGTTTCTTAACTGATTGCTCTCGTCCTATTGATATAATTTATTTACCCTTATTTTCTTATTATTTTGGGGTATTTATACACTATTCTCATCTGGTTGGGCTGAATATAAAGAAATATTAAATCAAATAATAAATAAACATAAATATATATTTAATATACATAAATAAATAATACATAACGTAAAAATAATACATACGTAAAATCCTAACCAGATGGAAGCCCTCGGCAGGGGATACCAAACGGCCGCGGGTTAGGGGGAAAGAGAAAGAAACCGGCGGACGATGCGGGAGGTATCGAGGAGCACCGCCTTCGCATCTGAGTCCAGAGCGGTTCGTCACGGAGTCCCAGTCGGCTCAGATGACCCGAAAGGCTGACCGGGATTAACCCGTTCGCAGAGAAGACTACAGGAATAATTTCGGTCGGCAGTTCACCCCACATGTCGGTCACCTCGTGAGTCAGGTCTAGATATTTTGTTCGCTTATCTGCTTCGGCTTTCACGAGGTTCTCATCGTATGGAATGGTAATGTCGACCAAAAATATCCTTGACTATATCCGGTCCATCAGCACAATATCAGACTTATTCTGGCGCGGTCATTTTCGAGCACGGCTTCCGGTAACTACTTATAATAAAGCAGTTTACGAACCACAAGACCGTATTTCAGAGCGAGCGCCTGGTGTAGAATCCTGGCTACTAGATAGGGCCTGTGCAAGTACTCAGAGTTAGAAACCGCCTAACAACCAGAGATGACATGCCTAAGTGACTCACCGGGATGGTGACAAGCTCAACAGATTTCGACGGTGCCATCCTTTAGGATGTATCTCCGATAGTTGTTGGTCTTAATAACCTGATCTTGTATTGCACAGACAAAACCCTCGGTTTCCCCGAAGTGGTCACCAAAACGTAGTCAGTGGATGGAGGCAACTGTGTCGACGAAAGGCTCATGGAGAGCCTTGTAGAACCTTCCGTAGAGCTCTTTCTCCTTCCTTACGGTCTCCCGAACGGAAATGTACTATACCGCTGAGTCTTGCCATTGCTCCTTGGCTACGTTACTGACGATCTCGGATGATGCATTCTTTGGGACGTCATAATAGTGCGCACTTTTCTATCCAGCGCGTTCAGTTCGGTCTGAGTCCACCTGAGTATGCCAAAGGTAATCATGAGAACAGGCATGATCCAACTGTTATAGTATGCGTGTGTCTTATCAACGCGCGACAAATGACTGCTAAGCACTTTTATCAAGCGTACATAAAACACATCACAAATTGACTGTTTCATGTCCGCCTCATCGATACTTGTGTACTGTGATATACCCAGGTATTGGATTGTATCAGCCTCCTTATGTCGATGGGCATAGTTGAGTCTATGCTCTCAGAGTTAGAAACCTTACTCCTTTTGACATGGAGGACCGCACACTTATCCGTCCCCAGCTCCATTCAGATTGAATTGCTGAACTCACAAGTGATGTTCAGCAATTCCATAAGATGGGAGCGACTGGAGGTGAATAACTTGAGATCACTGGGTCACTTTTGTTCCTCCTTTCCGAAGCTGAAATAATCTCCCGGAGTTCTCCAGTAAGGTACTAAGCGGCTTCAGAGAGAGGCAGAACTAGATTCCACTCAGACAATCGCCCTGGGAGATACCCCTTCTTATCCTTATGCGGTTCTCCGTAGCCGTCATCCGCTCGCTCAGATGACATATGATCGTACTCATACACTGCCCGAGGAAGTCTCTAACTGTACAGTCAACCTTGTACAGCTCGAGGACCCTCTTTAGCTATGTATGGGGCACCGAGTCGAATGCATTTCTGTAGTCTATACAGGCGGCGGAGAAGTTCCGAAGGTTGTGTTGAAACACTTTGCCAATGATCGCGTCAATGAGGAATGGTTCCTTGGTTCCACGAACACCGCCCCGACATCCATTTTGAGCGCGCAACATCACCTGATTTAGCTCCAGGTGACGAGTGCTTCTCGCGCTCAAAATGGTTGTCATTATCTTATATATGGTGGGTAGACCCGTGATGGGGCAGTATTTGCTCGAGTCTGTGGTATCTTGAACTTTTGGAACCAAGTGAGTGATCCCAGTAGTGAAGAGGCTCGGGAGCGACTTTTGGTCGAGAGCCTCTTGTAACTGTCGGGCGAGCACAGCGTGACACACCACGAACCCCTTCAGCCAGTAGTGATGCAGCCCGTTCAGTCCCGGACTTTTCTAGTTCGGGACCCTAAGGACTCAGCTACGTCACCCGACGTTATTATGACGGGGTCCATGGGTGTAACGCTCGCATACTGACTTGCCACAACTTCCGTCCAAGAGCCCTCGCTGTGCTTTACATGTCCACGTGTCGGCCTGGTTCGGTGGGGGTCCGTTCCACGTACCATTCATTGGTCACTCCAATAATTCATAGAGCCTCTTCTGATCACTCTGGAAAAGACGATTCTGTTTGAACCGCCTTGACCTCTCGGTATATCGCCGAATTCGCTTCCCTAAAGCAGCGATACTTTGCTTCAGGTTATCTATGCGCTCCGTTAGTTTCTGCGTGATATCCGGCTGCGACAAACTGATATTTGTCCCAGCAAACGCCTTTCTAACGGTGCGCATAACTCTCCTTTCGCCCTATTATTACCCGACCTGAAGCTTGTCAGTCTGCCAATGAGGGCCCTCGCCTTTGCGATACGGTCCTCAATTCTTTTTCTCCAGGCTGCAATGGTGCGCTAATAATAGGGCAAACTGCCAGTTCGGCGCCAAAAAGAATTTAGTCCGTCTCGCAAAAGCCTCGGCTGGCATCCAAATAGGTCACCAGCAATGGCTTAAGAGCCCGCACGACAACCCGATTCCGCTTACTTAGAGGTATGCGGGAAAGTCGCGGTCGATTTTCGAGAGGCGTACAGTGCGTTTCCGAAATCGTCTCTTCCAATATGCTCCTCATTTGCCCCAGTTCATGGGAAACTATTCCATCATCGTCTGAATCAACCACAACTGGATTATCGACGCCGGCATCCACGTGTGCAGGTTGTCCTGCCCTTAGTGGCACCGCATTCCCAGCCGTAGCATTTTCATCCGATGAGGAAACAGCCTCACGTTGTATTCGTTCGAGTTTGGCGTCATCAAGTATGTTGGAGCGCAGGATGTACAATATTATATTTTATTTACATAACATTGAAATATTTACAGTATTTATCACCATAATGGAAAAACTGAAACTAAAAACTTATATTATCATACTGTCTACTCCTCTACTCCCCGCGGTATAGAGCCAAGAACGCTGGCTGCATTTCCCTGCTAAATGATTGTACATAGTCTTTGACCTAGAAAAGAACCAGCCTTCTAATCGACAGCAGCAACGACCAATCGCAGATAAAGTTCTTTTAGGAACTTCACCGCACGTGGACCCCACGAACCGATAGCCTATACAGCAAATGGCACAAATATGTTGTCATCCGTCAGAGATTCATATTTTCGCCACTTACTTGGTTCAACTGCCTCTGATGCCGCTCCAGCTCTAAACGAGGCACCCGTGTATATTGTAATTTTCAAAAAGCTATATTTTATACTAAATAGGCATATAATTTTTGAGTTCATATTGTGCTTACGGTATTGTACTTCGAAAGGAAAAAAACGTCTCGCGTATATCATCATTTTGTTTTCAGACTGTCCGTCCGCTAGTCCCTCTATCAATACCTTTTTCTCAGGAACGGGTAGAGGTATAAAGTAGAAACTAATATCAAATACTAAGTAAGGTACATGGTCCCTGGGAGGTGTAACAAAATCGACCTTCTATGTCAACACAATTAAAAGATAAGGTCAATTATTCTTACTTATTTTTAATCTTAATGTAAATGGAAACACTTGTTGAATTCTAGAAAAGAACATTTTATATTGAATTATTTATAATCTAATGAGTATGTTTTCCACTATAAATAAAAACAGGTTTCCCTAATAGATTACCATAGTGATCGGTAGGTAGTCACTAGATCGCTATACTTTCCGTGGATTCCCTGTATACCTATTCCTGATCGTTAGGGATTTTATCAATCAACAATTTTTTGTTTCGGATATGCGTAAATAAATATTCAGAAAGACAAATTTGTACGGGTCCGGAAGTTTGTTGGCTGGCTGCAAAATAACCGATTGAAATAAATGTTACATATTATATGGATGCCCCTGACAAAACTGCGAACTACGCTGCTACGCTGCAACCTCATTTTCCCACACGACATTTCAACATTGCTTCCACGAGGCGGTTTTGCTGACTTGATGGGGAATTCGGTCGCCGTGGACTCACAATGACGCACGCGATGTCAACCGACATAGCACTTTACCAGAAACCCAATGCAGCGAGGCAATTCTGCTAACCGTGGATTCACAGTGACGCCCGCGGCGACATCCGACAGCATTATATATACGAAACTCCACGATGCCACCTCACTTCGTTTCTAACATCGGGCGGGGTGCAGGTTTAATTAGATTTAATTAGTATTAGTTCTCTTTAGTTGTAATATCTTTTAAATTAAATTTAATAAAGGTAATTTTGTTTTTTTTTTTGGGTCCTCCGGCGGCGACATCCATAATTTATAGATCTTTTTTTTATAGGATAGGGTGACAAACGAGCACACTGTCCACCTGATGGTAAGTGGTTGCTGTGGCCCATAGACATCTACATTTATCCTCGTTTGCGAATCAAAATGCAGATGCGTTGTCACCCGTGAGGACTAAGATAGAATGCCCCATTTCTCGTAAAAAGGGTCTTCGGTTCTCTACACTCACCATACGAAACACAGCAGCATGAAGCTGCTATTTGACGCTGGTATTCTGTGACAGCGTGGTCCTTCCCCGGTCGAGCCGAACCATTCGTGCTACAACTATACTACTAATATAGCTGCAGCATGGCTCTACCACGTACAAAATCAACGAGCTTATTGCAATAACTAAACATTACAGATGTTTAAAGAGTTCCTAGCATAAATTATTTCTTATATTGTGAATTCTAAGCATTATCTTACTCGCACACACCATTAGCACGCTGGTCATATTGCAGATTTGAGAACAAGACATTAGCCACGTGGCCCGCTGCTACTCACCAAGTCAGAGTAGTGTAGAAGTTCTAAGCGATTTGTAGCAATTATGACGGTACGGCCAGCTCTCGCAGCAGGCAACAGCCCACGGGCTACCACGTGTCGCGCCAGGGCCGCATCCAGGGCACCGAGCGGTTCGTCCAATGCCAGCAGCCGCGCACCGCTGTATATACAACGCGCCACGCACACACGCACACGCTGCCCGCCCGATAACGGTGCTCCATGGCGACCTAGCTGCGTACGGTCGCTATCTAGACATAAAATAATTCAACTGTTAAGTTAAGAAGTGTTTAGGAAACGGAAATGCCGGATATTTGTATATCTATATTATCAACATAAATTTAAACTAAATAGGTACTTTTAAAAGTGGGTCAAAAGTAAAATAATCAAGTTTACAAAACTAATTGTAGAGTCGGTTTTACCAGGTAAAATTTGTAGGTCGGGTCTCAGAGCAGCAGCACGCAGGGCGCGCGCGTACTCTGCTGGATTCCAACGTCGTCCCATGAGGATGTTATCACGGATCGAGCCTTCGATTAGCCATGGAGGTTGTCCCGCATAACAAGCGCTGTATTCTCTTAACACACAAAAAACAAGCACGTATATCGATTAGACGAAAAGTGTTTGTGATTAACTGAAGACAAAAATTCATAAGATGTACATAATATCTCACGATACTTAGACGGGGATTTTCGGAAATTTCGCTGTGTTCGAATACCAGCCAACCTTAATATTTGTGCAATGCAGATATCATTAATTTCAGACATTCACATATCAATAATATGTCCTCAAGTTTTTAATACTACACCTTTCTCCCAGAATATACGTTAACAAATTAATCATTATCAACATCTGCCCATGAATAATGGACTTTTCTAATATTTGACCCACATGCACTCTGTCAAAAGTTTGACGTACGCAGTATTAGAAGTTCCAAAACTTGGGTGATGTTTCCCATTACCAGTGGGAATATGCTGCCTCGTATATATGTGGACGGGTTCCCTCGATTGAAATCCTATTGTGTTTCACCTTTGTACCTTTTCCTACACGACCTTCATTTGCACCTAAATCCCCCAATCCCGCCATGGAGGCCACAGGGCCAGAGAAAAGCAAAAATGCAAAAATGCCTTGCAAGTATTTTCAAAACAGTTGCTCACCACATATCGCCCCACCTCAGCCGGTGGGGTTGGGAAAAAGTTATAATAAAACAAATAATAAACCATAATCATAAAATCTTCAATTCTCAAAATGTTGCAAACACAATTTATCGGCTAGAGAAAATGGTCAGGGCAAAGGGAAATTTAAGGTAGGATGTATTCGGAACAAATTAAACAAAATATATGTTAAGTGTCCACGAGTAACACTCGTGAGAGGTTGCGACGTTTTAAAACTGCTTATTTTTTAACTTTTTATCGATGCTTTTTTACGCCGTTGCTATAATAATTTAGGTAAGTAGGTACTTGAAAATATTCCTCAATATGTGTAGAACAAAAGTTTCAAGAATGCTTATAACTTCAATTCCACTCTGCACAGACACAAAAAATATGAAGTCACTAAATAAATATGCAAAACATAACGGTTCCAAATTGATAAGTAACATCGTATTGATATAAATATTTGTTCAGGTCAACCAAGTGAAAGTTAATATCGATCTCACTAGGCGACGTGATGCAACGCAAAGCGTGTAAGGAGTGATAGATACAACTAATGCTTTTTATTTGACAATAATATAAAATATCTTACCCATTCCAATGGACGTCACCCCTTTCGAGATTCATTTCCCCTAGTATAGCTGATAAAAATGACGATTTGCCAGATCCAGAGGATCCAACAACCATAATCAGCTTGCCTTGAAATTAAGATAAAAGTTAACGTTCGTATGGCATAAATTTTTATATAGGATATACGTATGTTTACACACCTTTTGGAATATCTAAATCATCAATATCAAGCCAGGTGTTGTCATTCATTTTCCAAGAAAGTACAGCGTTTTTGAATCTTATTAAGTAATCTTGATCATTGCAAGTTGATTTGCTATCTTCAAAGAATTTGTCTTCGCATTCAACATCAATATCTTTATTGGTTTGCTCTTGATTTGGAAAATAGTTGCAGTCTGGAGCTGATTCCATAATGTTGTTTGAAAGCAAATGATAAGATTTATTATCTGATGCACTTTGTTCACAACCATCTTCTTTCACATTATTTGATTCCGGTAGTTCTAAAAAGTCCTCGATTCTCTTGGTACTTACCTTAAAAAATTAATGTTACCTTAATTAATTTTACTGCTGAAATATAGTTTTATATAGGTACCGGGAAACCTAGCAACCACTTCTAAACTACTTCCAAAAATGGCAAAAACTTTGCCATTTTGGAAGGACTTAAAATTTTTAACAAAAAATTTACGGTCAGACTGGGCATCAATGTTAAATGTGACATTATATTCTTCTTATATTTGGTATTTATTAGTGAGTTAAACAAATACTAATATGAAATATACACAATACTCAAAAATAGAAAATGGCAAAGATAACCTCTCTTTGCCATCAGGGTTTACTATGAAAATAATAGAATTTGACTTCAAGGTTGAAGGTAAGTACCTCATATTATAATACACAACACTCAGAGTTATGATTTGCTTCTTTAATTGTGTTGTAAATAGCAAAGTTTACTCTTGTGGCAAAGTTGCCCTCCTATTTTTCAATATTTCATACAAACTTGAAAATATGTGTCAGGGTTGCCAAAAATCCTTGATTACGTACTTAACTTAATTTTTATATTTAAATCTTGTCACAATAATTTCTTAAGCAAAAATACTTTCGTCGATGCCAGGTCGTAATTATTGTAATCAATCTAAATATTGTTTTGCTACAACAGCAAAACATTAATAATCATTAAAAATTAACAACAACAAGTTGAAATTATGATAAATACTAAGTAGTAATAATATTATTAATGCCCGATAACACAGCTAAAATAATATAGATTTCTCTTTTCTTTTCCTTAACTTTTGATAAAGTTGAATTGATTGACGACTCATTTAGTAAAATCGGTCTAATGGGCTGCTACAGTGAAACATCAATACAAACATACATACATAGAATGTTAATAAGTACAGAACACTTTGTTTAAATAGTTGTAATCGGTTAAAATATAGGTTGAAAGTGACAACCCTTGGTTATGCCAAAACATGGCAAAGTAACCGTTACATAGTGGCATCACTAGTATTGTAACTTTGCCAAGTTAGTTTTTTAGATAAATGTTAAGACCAACATGTTAAAGATGATATATTACATTTCCTAACCATTAATATTACGTTACTATAAAGATATACATAGATACCTACATTCAGTATTTCAAACAAAATCAACAAAAGTACTGGAGCACTGAACAAATAGTTTATTTCGCCGACACAATTACGCGTTAAAATAAAATGCCAAAATTAACTCTCATGTTATCATATCGAAAGCAATGCTGTCCAAACGCGTTACATTTCCGTGTTAATCGTAATTTTTGTACCAGTACATCCCTGATGGCAAAGTTAACTTCCATTGGTAAAGTTGCCAGATTTGACTGTAGTAAAGATTATAAGCTCACCATAGCTTGAATCACCATGAGCACCGTCACGGGTAAAATAAGCAAAGGTACTGCTAATTGATTGAATAACGCCAAACCGGCCAATACATTAATTACTGTTAAACCATCATTGTTTAAAAAATATAACAGTGTATACGTAATAACTGTTATAAGTATTGTGGATGCTTGTGTTGTAAAAGCTGTAAAATACAACAATTGTAATAAATAACTGAATCAACTATTAAATTTTAAAAAAATATGACTTTGTACATACTTACTTAGAATTCCCCAGTAAATAGAATCCTTATTTAGCAGTCTTAATTCAACTTCTCTTAGTTGCAAAATTTTTTCATTAAACAAATCTTCCCAAACATAAAGTTTAATAACATTTATGCCCTGTAAAATTTCTGACATTTTGGATACTCTGTGATCAGTACACTTTGAAATATTTTTGGAATTGTCCGAAAGCTTCATGCCAATGTAAAATTGTAAGGGAGTTATTAGGACAACACTAGCAGCGGTTCCTATTATTGCACTTACTCCTAATTTTGTATAAAGTAAATACAAAATAACAGCCACCTACAATTAAAGTAACTTTAAAATCTATTTAAATAAAGAAAAAAAAATTAAAAGCGTTGTTAAGTAAACAAAACACAAACCTTTAAAGGAATTGCCCAGATGTAGTGACATACCCAAACACTTGACATTATATTGTACGTATCTTGTGATATTAAATTGGTCAGGAGACCAGACTGAGAAGTAGTGTGGTCTTCTGTAGCTTGCAATAACGGGGATTCTTCGTCTACTTCTGATTCAGCTGATGACCATGATGCCAGCCGCATGCATTTGTCATAAATCATGCTCTATGTAAACATTAAAAAACTGTTTTTATGCGTATGGATAAAATCAATATTCTATTATGGAATTAGCGAAATAATTTTATTTATATATTAGTTGCCAATTTAATTTTTACAGATATTTTATATATAATGAATTGTATCATGAAAATACCTAGTCAGGTCATAAATTCTGTCACATGTTTAATATAAAATAATTGAAACAAGTTTATTCCTTATGTAACCATTTATATACCAAAATGAACTTAATAAAACATAGATTCTTATGACACTAAAGTTTATTCCAAATGACCTCCGTGATTTTGAATACAGGTCTTCAATATGCGCGGCCAGTCGTCTATCGCAGCACGAACGAGGTCCATGTCAATATCGGCGGCTGCCTTAATCAAGGATGTCTTGAGTGACTCCAAATTGGGATGAGGCTTTGAGCACGCCTTTTCCTCCAAGTGTTGCAATATCTTGTAATCTAACGGATTCAAATCTGGGCTGGAGGAAGGCCAGTCTTCGTGCCGAATAAAGTCGATTTCACGCGCCGCCAGCCAGTCTTGTGTGCTCTTCGCCCTATGAGCTGGCGCCGAATCTTGTTGCAATACCCAGTGCCTGTTATTGAACATGGTATGAGAAACAGGTTTCACAAGGTTCGTCAGGACTGTATTTTGATACACAACTGCATTCGTTTTTACACCATTCTCACAAAAATGTACCTCTGTTAAGCCCCAATAAGAAACTCCCAACCATACCATGAGCGAGGATGGAAAATGACCTCGTTGAACACGCGGAATACGGTTGCTCGCTTCTTCACTACTGTGTGCGTACACCTTATCATTTTGTTTGTTGTAGCTCTCTTCTACGGTAAAAATTTTTTCATCCGAAAAAAGAATTTCCCGATATTTTTTCCCGCGTACCGCTTCAACAAAGCGCGGCATCTCTTCAGTCTCAGGTCCATTAGACGAGCATTCAAACGATGTCCTGTTTTTCTTCGATATGCCCGAAGCCCTAAGTCTTCATTTAACATCCTTTTCACCGTGGTTCTGCTTAACCCCATCTGAAGGGCCAACAGTTTCTGCTTACGTTTGGGATTTCTTTGAATTCGCGCCTTCACAGCTTTTATCACTGCTGGAGTCCTAACAGACCGAGGGCGACCATTTCTTGACCTGTCATCTACACTAGTATCTTCATTGTATCGTTTGATGGTATGATAAACGAATCTTTTGGTTATATTCAAGTTTTTCAGTATGTCAAAAATTTGAATTGGCGCGTAACCGCAACGATGCAACGCAATAACTGCTACACGGTCTTCTTTAAGCGTCCACTCCATATTTAAAAATGAGTAAAATTCTAAAAAGTATACAGTTTTATTTTCATGAGTAATTTGAAATTCGAATTCAATAAACTTTTTTGTGGCCAGCATTCTAAAAGAAAAGTTTTTACTGTGTGACAATACTTATGACCTGACTAGGTACAAAAAGTTCATTCTTTGTGAGATGATGATGTGACCAAGATAGATAGAGAAAGGAATGCTTCAGTGATTAGGACACGAAGAAAGAAAGCAGAGAGAAAACAGGGAAAAAGCTATGATGCAGAGAGATACAAGGGATATTTTATATGGATAAGTGGAAGTTTATCAACCAAATTGTCGATACATTGAAGTGATCGTAATAGAACGCCCATTATACATTATGACACCAAATAATAAGAACTCAAGGACGTAACGTTATACTGAAAATGTGTAACGCACCCTAGGTCCAACAACGAGATACACGCACACAAAATGACAATCGACGTCAGTATGCAGCGCGTGTCAATGTTAGAGCTGACACCACACGCGCACGGCGCCGATTGTCGTACCTACAAGTTTTTGTGTTAAAATTAATAGCACCTTTTAGGTTAATACTTTTTTAGTGTAACAATCGATTCTTAGTTTTTTACGTCCCTGAAAAAACTTTACAAATATCTGATTTGATTGAAGCAATTATAGTTTATCCTGGATCTAACCATGTTTTTTTTTATGTTCATAATCTCATATAAAATCTATTTCTCATAAAAAGTAAAAATATTTCCTATTCTATAAAAATGTATTTACTCTGTTACCCACGTTTCGGGTTTCTGTATTTTTCTCATTTAGTGCAATCGCTTGGAAATAGCCCCGAATATTTTTTATTGTGTTGGAAGTTCTTTTTGAGTCGGCGTAGAGTTTTCATCAAGTAAGGCTTTCTAATCGTCAGTCACAGTTTCATTCTGACTAAATCATCTGTAAATTGAAGATAAGTGATGTGCCCGCCATTGATATTAAAGTATTTTCTAGTACAGTAACATAAAAACGTCGATTGATATACTGACAGTCATCTTGGCACCACTGAATTCTGAATTCTGACCTTCCCGTCAATTTCGAGGGTAAGTAAGAAAAAGTGGCAGTCTTCTGTACAATTTTCCGGATAGTTCGTATGTGTTCTATTGTACTAATTTTTTTTCAGATTCAGGCTTGTACTGAAGGCTGGAAATGGTTGCTATCTTCGTGCGAGAAAATTCGTAATGATCTTCGAAAACAGCACGTAGACGCGGCTTAGAATGGAAATCGTTTTGTACTTTCGATAGAGCGGTGTCGCCTTTCTTGGAGAACAAAACCGCCGCTCTTCTTCTCATCGCCTCTGTAGTAGTGCCACCATGGAGGACTAAATTAAAGAGCTCCTGACGCACTTCAACTAAGTACCAGTTTTCCACTCGTAGCTTTCTTTTAAATTCCATCTTTGCTCTGGGTCTTGCCGTTTTTAATCTGCTAGAAAGCCATTCTAAGCTCGCTCAGACTGACATCTGGGTTATTATTAGAATAGTATTGGATCAGACTTACTTTTGGATTGTTACTTACACTTGTATGTGGCTTCAACGTTGATGTGTACAGCTGTCGAAGAACCTCTCAATCCCACACAAAATCTAAGGTATCCCGGTAATGACGCTGCCACAATCGATCATTTTCGATAGTTGGCTCTTTTCGGCAGAATTATCTCTGGTAAAGGCTTTGGAGCCTTGGTTCCGCTCAATACCTTCGTCGCATGTATTTGGAGATCTGACTGTATGCTGTCATATATTTTACTGGAAACGAGGCATTCCTTCATAGGCCTCAGAGGTGACAACACATCCTCCTTTTGTTTCTTAATCGAGGATAGTTATAGATGTCTATGAAACACAGCATCTACTTTTTTTTTTTTTTTTTTTTATAGGATAGGGTGACAAACGAGCACACAGTCCACCTGATGGTAAGTGGTTACTGTGACCCATAGACATCTACATCTATCCTCAATAAAGACTCAAGATGCAGATGCGTTGTCACCCGTGAGGACTAAGATGGAATGCCTCTTTGCCAGTAAAAAGGGTCTCCGGTTCTCTACACTCACCATACGAAACACAGCAGCGTTAAGCTGCTATTTTACGCTGGTTTTCTGTGAGAGCGTGGTCCTTCCCCGGTCGAGCCGACCCATTCGTGCTACAACCATAATATAGCTGCAGCATGGCTCTACCACGAACAACTACTTACCATCAGATGGATTGTAGGCTCGTTTGTCACCCTTAATCTGAAAAAAAGGGAGATTTTGTGTTTTTCTGCGACGGTTCTTGCAGAACTTAGCTCCGACCGCATGGACAGTTTCCACGGGATTGAATGCATCAATAATTTAAGAAATTACAGGTTTTCACGAGCATGTCATTTATATCGCCTACTGTCATTTATAGCAATTTTCTACCGACTTCAAAAAAGAGACGGTACGCAATTCGACTGTTCTTTTTTTATTCGTAAGCTGGTGCTTCTCATGCGGCTCCATATAAATTTGATCAAGGTTTGATCAATAGGTTTTGAGTAATTCTTAATAATTTATATTGAAGTCGGTTATGTAAAAATTTTAATTTTAAATTATCTAGGCACTGAAAACGATTTTGTTATTTGCGATGAAAGTTTTCGGGGCTTTGAGTCAGACCATGCGGGAGACGTATCGTTGACTCCATTAGAGTGAACTCTCTAACTTAATTTTAAATTTCAGTATGCCTCTCACCATTCAATGATCGTTACCAGTTTCGACAGTTGCCGTCTGGTCGTCATAATAAAGTTAATGTCATTTTTCGCTAAACTATTAGGGCCAGACTAGGTCCTCTTCCTGAGGAACCGCTTCTGGAAAAAACAGATCATCAAAGTTCCTTCTTCTCCATGAAATCGGCCAGCTGTTGATCTCTTGGGCTTCGTCACCCTATTCCCAATTTCCCTACCTTCCTTTCTTGTGCCATATTTTGTGTTACATATCAACACCCTATAGTGGGTCTTAAAGGAATATATGGCTCTAGAGATATCCTCATACATCTTCATCTCCTCATCGAGACGTACTGAGGTTAGACGTACTGAGGTTTTACGTAGATCTGTATGACCTTCAACGAATACCGTTTGTTGATTCGGAATATAAGGTACGCAGCCCTTACCGACACACTCCCAATCACAACGTTGTTGACGAGGGGCTTGTGGACGACAATCTCAACACCTTGGGACAGCTTGCCGATTTCGAGGCTCACCGTGTACTCTCCCTCTTATCAGACATTTTATGATCCTATAATTTTCCAGCGCAACTTGTCCAGTTCCAGGATTTTCTAGTAAGTTCTCAGGGTGTGTGCGTTAAATGTTTCCAGATCAAGTCGTCTATGGTGGCAAACGAACCTCCACCGGATATTATTTTCACCTCTGCTCTGCCGTTATCATGATTACCACCGTAGCCAGAGAAACTGGGGCCGCTGGCCACTGGGGACTAGGGGCAGTTTCTTTATGTCATTACTCATAAAACATAAACAAACGTAATATTTTAAAAACACATGAATCAGTTAGTTTTATGCATCACTTTGCATATTTAAATCAGGTCAACCGTTAAGCGATCTATTCAAGGTTGATTTTTACCAAATATAGATGTGACTTAGTTTATGTCTACGTAAAAGGAATTAATCTTGAACATTTAATAGTATTAATGTACTTG